GGCAGCCTTTTGGTGCCTAAACTCTTATCACCGAGAATTCTATCTTGCACTCTAAATGGAGGATTGTGACAATAAAGCTCACCTCAATAATTATTTTAAACGTCGACCAAACTTGGCAAACACACACCTTAAGCTTGTTCGTGTGTGGTGTGTGTGATGCCAATTCACCAAGTGACGGAACGACGAGTTCGGACTGACGACTTTTCATCCTCCGCGAGGATATGCCGCGGCTGCCTTAGGACCACACTGCAAGATAAAGCGGTCTAGCAAAAATGAGACTCTTTCCTTCGACATCTTATTCTGTAGCACGAATTTGTTAAACCTTTAATAGATAGTATATTTTTGTTTTGTGATTGCTCAGAATTACCCTCGCACAATATATGGGCCCCAAGTGTTTGTGGGAGGACGGTTTGCTCTAGTTTTCAACGTCGACATATTTTTTTTTTTTTTTGCTGCATAAATTTTTGCGACAGTATAGCCTGCCGGTAACAGCCATGTGGAAGCAGTAGAATGACAGTCCAAGGTTATACCCTGCCTCGGTGTAACTTTGCCAAGAATGAACGATAATCCCTCCATTGCGGGCCGACGGCTTCGATATCCGCTACGTATACGAGCGCACCGCGCACATCTTGGAGCATGACGCAGCGAAAAGCCTGACACTACTTCTCAGTAAAAGCGCACTCCGGTGATACGTAGTCGCGTTCCCATTGGCCCACCAGGTTGCAGCTTCGGCCTCTTGGCCCATAGAGTTATTACAATGAACACTAGAGGCTCATCTGGCACTAGTGATTACGGGCCTTCGAGTTGCAAATTGAAGCGCACGGCAAGCAGTCTACTTTTGCAGTCTTCCTGTGTATTCTTAAGGGAAAATGTACGTGATATTTTTGTCTTCTCCGGGGAATAATATTAACTAGCGCAGTTGCTTTGCTCGTAACGGGCTCTATGTAGCTTTATTCACATTATAAATGTGGAATTTATTTACTCAATGTTTTTTTTTACTACTGAGTGACGTTTAAGTTAGCAAAAATTAAGGCCCAGGTTTATGTTGTACAGCGTGATATGTCAATACAAGCTATCAATTTAAGCAAAAAACGTGGAAGACGTTTACAATTCTCTGTAACGAAGAATTGGAGCGCAGCTCTTGAGGAGGAGGAGGGGGGTACGGGGTGAAGGGTATGCGAATCCTTCCCCGCTAAATTTAGCGGAGATATTGGCAATGTTAGATCCGCTGACGTCATACGTCACGCGACGTCCCGTGTTTTCCATAATGACGACACATGTGGCGTCACAAGGGTAACGTTTCGACGTTACCCTCGTTACCCTCACGGGGAGAACCCTCACAAGGGCTACCCTTACGGGTGTAACCCTCACGGGGGCTACCCTTATGAGGGTTACCCTCGCAAGGGTAACCCTCATGAGGGTTACCCCCGTGAGGGTATAATCCTCGTGATTGTTACCCTCATAAGGGCAACCATCGTGAGGGTTACTCTCGTGAGGGTAACCTTCGTGAGGGTAACCCTCACGGGGGTTACCCTCACGAGGGTTACTCTTGTGAGGATAACCCTCTTGAGTGCTTGCCTTCTAAGGGCGCCCTCGTGCAGATAACCCCCGTGAGTGTTTCCCTCGTAAGGGTAACCCTCGTGACGTAACTTGACATCACACACCCCAAAATGCAACGCTCGGTTACGCCGACGACGGCGCCGAAGGCGGCGCCGCTCAACCCGCAAGCGTGCGCCTAAGAGTTGCGCTCTAAAAAAACAATTGAAAAGTGCGTAGGGCTTAGTGAAGCTATAATAACATTAAGATGACGGAAACGCAGTTTCTGCCATTGAACCCCTTGAACCCATGCCATTGAACCCCCCCCCCCCCCCCCCCCCCCCCCCCGACATAAAATCCTGGCTTCGCCACTGACCGCGAAGTTCTTGAAGTGTTTGGGACATGCGCACGTTTTCCCGTTTTCTTCAACATAACCCCCGCTAGACACAGATTTTTGTTTTTCTCTGACAAGGAAAATCGGCACGCACAACACCACCAAATCTGCGGGAAAAAAGATACCCTAAAAAAACGCTCCCAAATTCAGAAAGAAATAAACCGCGAAAACAGGCAAGCCTAGCTCATATGCAATGATTGCAACAATTGAGGCCAGAATACATTTTTGCGTAGCAGCGAGCTTGCACAAAAACAAAAAGAGCCAGGGGTGTGTCAACGGTAAGGTCAGTGACGACTCCCAACAAAAATAAAATAGACGAGAAAAGGTAATGGACGCGTTTTTATCACGAACTCGTGCAAGTCTCAAATCTGTATCAGACGGTGCGGAAACTTGATACTTCAGAAACTTTTTTTTTTATATATAATAAATTATATTACCGCAGGTAAAAAAAAAAAAAAAAACGTGTGCTTGCTACCGAAATACCGCTACTCCGTCGCGTAATCGCAAAAAACAAAAACAATTGAGTCCATTTATGATACCATCTACTTGTCACACCGACGACAGCCTGCAGTTTCGTAATTCCCTATCATTGTGACCCATTGTTGTTGCGCCGACTCCTGGGCACGATTCTGTAGACTCGTCGAGTTCTGAGCATGCTCTCTCGTTCTCGCGTCTAGTTTGTGTCTCGGATCACGAAGGCACGCCCCATGCTTTTTTTGTCTTCTTTTATGTATTTAGATTTTTATTCTTCTTAATTTCCTATAAGGTTGCGTCTTCTTTCTGCGTTTGCTTTCTCAAACTTCACAGGCCTCTTTTCACACAAAAATGTACTTCTATGTACCTCAGCCACTTGTCTTGCATGCGCATAGCTCCCACATAACACTCCATAACGACGCACTACGAGAACAATACTTTCATGACTTTATAAAGGCAACTAAAAGTCATACGCAGGCTTCTACCAGCACTGCATAAGATTAAGGTACGTGTGGTTATTTTTGACAGATGAATGGCTTCAAGCTTAACTGAACTGAACACTAAAAATAAAATAAAAGACTCAAAACCAAAGATTCCACTTCTGCGCCGCCGTGCCCTCTGAACATGTATTGCGACATCGCTGCTTCAAAACTGTTCGCCGGTATTGTCGCCATTTGGATAACAGTTAAGCTGAAATGAATAGCGCACGAGACAGAAGTTGAGTTTGCATTAAAAGCCCCATCGCACTCTCTGGTCATATTTTCGAAGCATGCCCACGCCGGCTAGTTTGATCAAATATCCTATCTTCCCTCGATCATATCGTCATTAATATTATATCTTGTCTTCTTAAAAATCTATAAGAGTCGTAACATGTAAAGAAAAGCGGGCGGATTGGGCATCAACAAAACTGTCGTGTGTACATCGTAGATTATGGTAGGGCTATGGCCTACTGTGATGATATCTCCCATGCGCCTTGTCTGTCAGAGTAAACTGGTTGTGCTCTTTTCCTCATGGGGCGTTGACGACTCGTATGGTTCCTATACTCCGTATAGCAACAATACGAGGCACATGGTTATAGAGTTCGTCATCTTTCTGTACGGGTTCTATAATCCCGAAACCTATCATGTTCAAGGAAGGCCCAGGGACCCGCGCTTTTGATACGGTTTATTCGTGCCATCAGCTCGTGGCGTCGGCTGCGTCGTTGAAACAAAGTATATACTAGGTTTGTTATCTTCGTATCCGTTGTTGTTGTTAGAACGTTCTTTATTGCCTTGTTATATATAATATATGTATACATATATATATATATATATACACACATACACACACATATACCATACACACATATAATGCACCATTGTCGTCTGCATCGGTGCGGGCCTAAGGATCTGCCGTTGCCGTCATGGCGGTCTGGGTGGGTGTTGGTCCCAGCGCCTTCGGCTGCTGCAAAGTCGTCTACCGGGGCCGTCGTCGTCGTAGACGAACTCCGCCAGCTTTGTCCACAGCAGGGAGACGATCGTCTTGTCACGACTGGTGGGTAGAATCCAATCAACATACGTCGCCGGACGGATCTCGTCTGGGAGTTCCTCCAGTTTTGTTTTCCGAAGGCTAGCGTGGCGCTCGCACTCCCAGACAACATGGGCAGCCGTCGCGGCACCCCGGCACCGGCGACACGCCCCCTCGTCAGGATCGTCGCCGAAGAACTTATGGCGCAGCGCCGGGGATAGGACAGTGTTGGTCGCGAGGCGGCGGACGAGGGTCTGAGTGCTCCTCGGTAGGTCATTCGGCATCGGAGGAACGGGACGCAACTGCTCGTCCGGGCGTTCCTCCCGCTCCTCACGAAAGTGCCGTAGGATTCTCCGCCTTCGCTGTTTAGCACTTTCCTTGACGACAGACGGGTCGGCCGGGCCGGCTGCCTCGCCGGCTGAGTTGTGGAATGCGTTCGGCGCGGATGCCATCTGGCGAACTGCTGCTCGCGCCTCGCTGTGGGCCCACTCATTGCCGTCAATGCCCGCATGCGCGGGCACCCAGGAAATAATAGCTTGGATGTTGAGCTTGTTTCGAAGTTCTAGGAACGCGGCGAGCAACTCGCCGACTATTCCCGTGTACATTGAGGGGCTCCCGCTCGCTCGTCTGCAAGTTTCGTACGCGCGAGTCGAGTCGGTGAACAGTAGGAGCCTGTGTGGGATGTCTGTTGGTGCAAAAGTTTGAAGAACCCACTGGGATGCTCGGAGAAGTGCCATGAGTTCCGCTTGCGTAGTGTCGACGTCTTCAGTGGTCGAAAGCGCAGCCGCGTTCGGAATGCCATGGGTGGTGTCGACCCACGCGACCGCCTGGACGTGCTTGGGGGTTCTGTCCTCTCCTTCCCCGTCGTCGCCGGTAGTCGACAGCAAGGTCTCCGCCATGTCAGTGTAGATGATGGTGTGCGTAGGCGGGGATTTGTGCGCGACGCTACGTGTGTGCGCTTTGGCAAAGCGTTTGCGTCGCTCCGAGTTGCTCGTTCCAGGTCCCATGTTTCGTGGGAGGGGTTTTCCGTCGGTAAGCGTAACCGGGGCGGCCCACGGAGGGGGCGAGTGCGCGTCTGCCGGGTGGACGTCCAGACTGGGAGGCACGCCAAGCTCTTCCAATATGGAAAGCCCAGCTGTCGAGCTGCTGAGGCGGTCTCTCTGGGCGAGGAGCGCCTGTTCGGCGAGTTCCGACAGGAGGTTCATGCCGCCGTGTGCGTACAGCTCCCGGAGGGGCGTATACTTAGGCAGTCCGGTAACAATGCGGATGGCTTCGCGATTGAGTTTCTCGAGTTGCTCCGCCTGCCTGGGCGTGAGGACGTGATAGTTATAGCCGTAGAGGATACGGGATTCAAGCAGCGCCGTGACGAGCTGGCGCGTTTCTCTCTCCCGCGTGCCCCACTGGAGGTGTGTGATTCTACGGATGAGGCGGAGGAGGGATCTGCACTGCAAGGCGACTTTCGTCACCCACGTGGTGCCTTTGCCATCTTGATCTATGTAGGCTCCCAGGATCCGAACGGAGGGTTTTCGCTGTATCCTTTGGCCGGCCATGCTGAGGGCGATTTGGTTGCGGACCGCCTCGGTCTTTCTGTGGGGCCCGTTTAAAACCACGACGTATTCGGTCTTCTCGGCCGAGGCGGTCATGCCCACCTTCCGAAGAAAGCCCTGTATGACGTTGAGGCCAAGTTGTAGCGTGTGCTCCTGTTCGCCCGCCGATCCCGTCGTTGCCCAGATGGTGACATCATCGGCGTATACGGCGAATTGCAGCGACGGAACCGCTTCAAGGAGTGGGGGAAGTCTTGCCATGACCAGGTTGAAGAGGGTGGGCGAGAGGACCGCGCCCTGCGGTACCCCGGTCCTGTTCGGTTGAGCGGGTCCAATGTAGTCCCCGGCTTTGATCTTGTACGTTCTGTCGTTCAGGAAACTCTTAACGAAATTGAGAAGGTGGCCGCACACTCCGGCAAGCTCTGCGCTCTGGATGACCGCCTCGTGAGGGACGGTGTCGAAGGCCTTGCGAACGTCCACCGCCACCACCGTTCTCGTCTGCACTTTTGAGTAGGCGTCAAGGACCTGGTGGCGCAACATAAGGAGAATGTCTTGCGTGCTCATCCCGTGGCGGAATCCTAGTTGATGTGGGTGGAGAGGGTAGTTCCTCTCGAGATGCCACATGAGTCGCTCGAGGACCATACGTTCAGTGAGTTTACACAGGTTGCTGGTAAGGGAAATGGGCCGGAGGTTAGTGAGCTCATTCGGTGGCTTGCCCGGTTTTGGGATCGGTATCACCAGGGATTCGCGCCAGGAGCTCGGGAAGTTGCCCGTCGTCCAAATTTCGTTGATCGCGTCAAGGAGAAGCTGGAGGTGGAGTTCAGGGAGGTTGCGCAATTCTGAGATGGTTATCAGGTCTGGGCCAGGTGCGCTGCGGGCGTTCGCCCTTGCTATAGCTGCGTGAAGTTCGCCCATTTGAAACGGTAGGTCCATGCCGACCTGCTCCGGTGTTTGGAGATCCAATGCCTGGAAATCTCCGATCATCTGGGACGGTGTCGCGGAGTCTCGGGAGTATATGGTGGGATCCGGTGAAGCCGCAGGCTGAGGGTAGAACACTGCCCCAGCCTGGAGCGCCAGCTGCTCCTCCGAGATTCGCATGCGTAGAGCCGCTGTCTGCGCCGCGGTGCGTCTCTTAGCTTTGCCCTGCCAATTGCGAAAGATGTGCCATATGCGCGGTCCGCTCATGTTACCGTTGAAGCTGGAGCAAAGGTCGCACCATCTGTCTGTAGAGAGTGTATTTGCGTAATCGCGCGCCTCAGTCGTTATAAGGTTCAGACGGCATCGCAGTCCGGGCGTTCGTCCTCTCTCTCTGTACGCACACAGCGCGTCGAGGCGTTGTTTCCATAGGTTAGCCAGGTGCAAGTCCGGCGACGGCTTGTCCTCCGCCACTTGAAAGTGCTGGGTAGATGACCTTTTGGCTTCGTGTATTGTCCGTAGGAGGTGGGCCAGTTCGTGCGTTTCCGGGTCATCGCCTGGTGTGGTTACGGGTGTTTGCTCCAGCTCTGCGCGGAAGGCGTCCCAGCAGACGACGCTCGTAGTTCGTTTCGGCGCCGTTATCTTGTGGCCGCGCAAACGAATGAAGATGGGCAGGTGGTCGCTCCCCCACGTGTCTGCTCCTAGTTCCCAGAAGAGGGCCCGCCGCCGGTTCGTCCATGTGAGGTCGGTCGTGGTGTCGCCCTGGCGGGCGTGCTGGCCAACTCGCGTTGGTAAGTCCGGATCGTTGAGCAGGCTAAGGTGGTTGTCCTCCATTGCGGAAACGAGGTTCGAACCGTGGTATGTGTCGGTGCTCGATCCCCAGCACGTGTGGCGTGTGTTGAAGTCGCCGCCGATGACAACGAGGGCATCGGGGTGCATTTTCCGCAGGTCTTCGACCCAGGACCAGTCAATGGTGACGCTGTTGCGGATCGACGGTCGGACGTATATCGACACCACCACGACCTTACATTGGGGGAGTTGGAGGGCCACACCCACGACCTCTTGATGTTGCGTGCACCAGCGCTGGAGGTCCAGCTCGTCGTGCGGGATGCGGGCAGCCACTAGGACCGCCGCGTTGCCCCTGTAAATGACGCCGTGCGGCGGCGCTTTGCCGCCCGGACCGTTCGGCGTTCGTTGGCGATGCGGGATGGTGGGTCGCGTATACGTGTCGTAGCCGGGCAGCGAGAGGTTCGGATCCTGGGCCTCCTGCAGAAGCAGCACTACTGGTCTTGTCCCTGCTGGGTAGCGGAGAAGAAACTCTGCCTTCTTGCGGGCGAAGGTTCTGCAATTCCATTGGAGAAACCACGCTGCCCTCTCCTGGGTCGTCCCGGGTTGCGTCTTAGATTGTGGGTTGGTGTTCGCCATGGTAGCGTCCCACGAAAGTTTGGCTCCCTAGGAGCTGTTGGAGTAGTTCTCTTACCAGTGGAATTAAGTTGTGATGCAGAATCATTTCTGTCACTATGCACTGTTGGTGGTAATTTTGCAGCGCCAATTCGCTCTGATTTTCAGGGTGTCCGCATTTGCATTGCGTTGGTGGCGCGGAGGTTGTAGCCATACTCGACATGGTGGAGAATAGAGGAGGCGCAGCAGCAGGAGCGTCCTTCCGTGGTGTTGGCAGCGCCCCCGTCGCGTCCGCTCTCGGGGGTAAAGGGAAGAGGGGAAGAGGAGCAGCGGAGGACTGATGTTTCGGTGTGGGGGAGGGCGGGTCCCCCTCACTCGGATAGACCCCAGGGGAAGACCAGTTAGAGTCGGCCTGTTTGGAGGCGTGTTGGGGGATGGGGTGGGGACCACTTGCCGCTTTGAAGGGAAGGCCGGTTGTTCTCCTCGGATGTCTGCTTTCGTCGTGGTTCTTTTTGGAGCCGTCTTGTTCGTTTAAGTTGGACCTGTTTGTGGAGCGGCTTCGGCTTTTTTCTCGTGTGCCTCCGCCGCGCCGCGAGATTTCCGAGGTCCGTCGAACCGAGTCTGTTCGGCGCATGTCCACGTCGCCACAGAGTAGGTCGCGGTGCGATGCTAAGTTTGCTCCACAGATGGGCAGTTCCGGCAAGCCGAAGGGCTCGATGTGTCGGCCCCCTGTCATTCCTCTTCGCAGTTGGGACCGCTCGCGAGGTGACGGCACGGATTTTCCACGTATATTGTGTCCTTTGGCTGCCGTACTTCCGCGTAGGCTGCTGCGCTTGGAGTGCTGACTGTGTCCTTTGCTCAACGATGGTGGCTGCCCCGGGGCGTCCTTGTCTCCCCGAATCCAAGTAAACTGACGCTTGGAAAGTGATCTTCCCCTTCGGCGTTGGATTGTTGTGGCGTCCTTGCGCCGAGGACTGATGTTGCGCGCGGCGCGCTCCGCGGGCAGCCTTGGTTGTGTGGCAGCTGTGGATTTATCGCGTCGGCCGGCGGAGAGCGCTGCTGCAAAGGTGGGACTCCACGTTCGTATGTTGTTTTCCTCCTGCGACTGTCTTCGGGATGTCGGAGCAAGCGGGGGCTCTTCTATGGTAGACTGCTGATCGTAGTTGTAGGACACCTGGCGCTTGGGTTCGCGTCCCCTGCTCGGGTAAACTCTGTACCACTGTGAACCCAAAGTTACGTGGTCAGGAGCATTTGGGCCCTGAAAGACAACCGACACCGATGTGCCCTGTCCTTTCCGTGTGATGTCCAGGATGGTGTGTCGCGACTGTAGCAAGGTTCGAACTGCTTGCAGGGATTGTTCGCCTATTATTTGGTGCACCGTTCCCACGGAGGCATTTTCTGGGATGGCAGGAAAAGCATAGACCTCAATTTTGTCCAGTTTGGTAATTAGTAGAAGCTTGTCTCTCGTTTCAACGTAAGGTGTGTCAACCGCTATGATGTTTTTTGTAGGGTTGAGGCGAATGTTTGGGATGACATATCGGTTGAACCTGCTCCTGATTTCTTGTGTGATTTTGCTTTTGTTTGATGGTTGTAATTGTACTTTTGCGAGCGAGGGTCGAAAAAGCACGGTGTACAGTCTCTCCCTTTGATTTTCGCTGGTTTCGATTGCCCTTTGCGATTGGCGGTAGCTTACTAGCCTGAAGCCGTCCTGCGTTAGGAAATCGGCAGGTGCGCGCTTGGATGGTTCACGCTCACCTGGCGAAGTATGTTTGGTCGGCGCAGTTATCTCGATGGCTTCTTCGGAGGCGAGGTAGTGAAAACTGTTTGATGACAGTATGTGGGGTCCAGATGTTCGGCCGATATCTGTGCTTGGCTCTGGTACCTCGTTCGTCGTTCTCTCGGGACGCATGGCGATGGAGCGGTCCTCGCGCCGAGTTGGAGAGGTTGGCGAGGCCGCGGCACCGAGGAGAGAAGGGAACCCCGCAGGAGCGGTGCGTTCGGTTTCCCTATCTCCTGAGGCGCGTGACGTCAGATGAGCTGGGGCGGCGTGGTCTTTTTGCGTGTCCTCCGGCAAGATTGCGGCGGGCTCGGATTCAAAATCGTTGGCGGTTGTGGCCATCTTGGATGCTGTAGCTCCTGGTCTGGGTTCTTTTATGCCGACGGGACGTCGTGATCGGGGCGTCTTGATTCCCTCCTGCGTCTTCTTCAATTTTGTGGCAGCCGGTGATGGCGTTACCGTGCCTTGTGTGTGCCGTGGACGTAGTCGCATTGGGCTTCCTGGGTCGTCGCACCGTTGCGAGTTCGTTGCAGGCAGTCAAATCTCTCATCGCATATTAGGCAAATAGTCGATGCATGAAGCTTCGGGGCTACTCTAGGCTTTCTCTAGACATTGATTGTTGATTTCACGCTAAATTAAGTTTTGTAACTTATTGGTGATTTCGATAAACTCAGTGAAAGTGAAGAGCTCACGTGAGGGTGGTGGAGCGGCACTGGATGTTTCCGGTTTTCGGTCTCTATAAAATGTGGTTTCAACGTTCAAAAACCTCTATTTTTATTCCTATGAGTCTATGACAAATTATTGGTATTTTTGATTACCATACTTTTGATCCAAAATACTTGCGCAACAATGTAGTGAAAAAAAAGAAGCCACACGCTCTTTCAACTAAAATTATCTGATGGGCGAGTTGGTTACGCATGATACACATACCTGTCCTGTCTACGTCGTTTAGTTGTCCTTGTTCTTTGCGCTGCAGTGTATATTACGCTCTTTAAAGAACTAGTTCAAAAATGATAACGTTACGCGAATATTTTAACGCGAATTTAGATGTTCGAATACAAAAAATACTCGATTCCAGGTAATATTATTATTTGTAATAATTACCATACAAGTATGGGCTAGACGCGTATACATGAGTAACCATTATTCAAAAAAAAAAAAAAAAAAACTTCTGAGAGACGTAAAAAAAAAGATTCGGCGCAAACGAAAAAAAAAAAACAGCTTTACTTGATATATAAAATTCTTGAGCACAACCGCGTCTAGATTCGAAACAAATTCGCTAAAGAAAAACAACGAAGGCACACAGAAAGATTTCAGGAATATACACCAATTATGGGAAAATAATGAGGAAGTATTATGTACCAACTTATTTTAATAATCTCCCTGATAGTTTACTTAATCTGATATCCTTAGCATATGTGAAAAAAGAAATTCGTAAATGGTGTAGTACGCCAGGAGAACAATAGACAGCTCCCAGACCCATGCATTTTTTTACGTCCCCACTTTATTTTCTGCATTTCCTCTTGCACGCCTGCATTCACTGTTGTTCTCTTCGCGACTGTTTGTATTGCCATGATTTTAAAAGCTAGAGTTGATTATTCTGTGTCATTTGTGGTATTACAAAAATCTATGTAAATCGTTATTATTATTGTATAAAAATAGGTAATTTCGTTTCATGCTTAGTGGCATAAACGTTTGCGCTTGTACACTGTTAAGACGATAAGCCATTTTTTCTTTCTTTACCTCTTATGTTGAGTTCCGCATAAAATGGGCTTCCAATAAGTTGTATCAATTAAGTTTACCATACTTCCGATTTGTTAAATTCATCCCCATGCTGGACTGTAAGTACTCACGCACAAGCACACGGAAATGCTTTTGTGAGACTGAGTAAATTGTATGTATGCTTTCTTTGTGGATAAACTTATTATTATTATTAACGGGTAAAGCTGCATTGCCATTTTTGCGAATCAAGCACGCTTCATTTGCAGGAATATGGGCGTGGTGGCTCACTGTTCTGCTGTCGTCGTAGTTACGGCCCACCAACTTTAAAAGCATTCTCACAACAGACAACTTCCCCCGCTTTTCGAGATAGCACTGCATTCCCAACGCGTGAAGGCCAGACAAAACTCAAGGATAGTTATAGACCAGTGTGTGCTCTATTCCATGAGCACCGCCATGTGTGTTTAGCTGACGCAATGACAGTAAAATGAGGGGAGGGGGGCTGTGCTTTTTGCTAGACTCCGTTTCTTTCTTTTTTTTTCAGAAACCTTCTCACATACCGTAGTGCAAGAACTTCGGAAAGGCATAGTCACGAAGCTCCCAGAACAACACCAATGCCAAGAGTGCTGTAAAGAGCAAAAACCTTGTTTTATGCGCAGCCCCTCTCTTCACAAGAGCGTGCTCTTTGGATTATTATTTGAAATTTTTTTATCGCTGTTGTCGGACAGTGGTCTATAGGCACCATGTAGTGCCATTTGGTTTGGCGCTATCTAGCGACTGAAGCAAGAAACGTTGGGTATACCTGGGAGTGGAAGCTGCATTGTTCAAATGTGAGCAATTACTCTGGTAGCGCCGCTATAGCCAAGTGTCTGAAGCAAGAAATATCGGTAGGCCAAGACACAAAGTTGTTGCAATACATTCTAGAGCAGGGGTCTTCAAACCCCGGCCCGCGGGCCAAATCCGGCCCGCGGAGGTCTTCCGACCGGCCCGTGGCTGGCTGCAGTCCTCCCACTGGAGCCCGGCCCACGGCCCACTTCCAGCACGTCCGCTGCTACTGGCGAAAAAATAAGCGCGTGTAAAACGGCGCCGCGGCGCGCACCAACCGTGTAAACGAAGTTACCAGAAAAAAACGAGAGAGAACTGCCTACCGTAAGGCGTGTCCTCTGGTCATCTTAGTAATTGGACATTGTCATTAGCAGAATCCACACTCCTAATCCCCTGTTCCATATCTGGGTAACTAAGTACGTTAAAATCAATTTACGTCCCTACGTATATTGTTCTTGGTGTACTGTGTCGTAGGTATTAAATATTGTCAGCATAACTTCTATCGCTCTCACTAGACTTGTGCCCTGAGTGAACGTGCCAAAGTTCCTATGCGCTGTGGTTTATGCTGGTATGTTTTCTGGGCTCCAATTATTGCGTGATGTCATGAGCAGCTAAATGATTAAATTTCATAACAAAGTGAATGCATTCATCCATCTTAGAATCTTTTTGTTTCATGTTTACTCTAACTTTATATATTGTATATCTAAATGCTTCGATATCAAAGATTATTTATTTAAATTTTCCTCATTTACATCTGCCCATTTATATTTCCGGCCCTCGAGACAGAGACCGATTCTTGATCCGGCCCCTTTGCCAAAAAGTTTTGAGACCCCTGCTCTAGAGGTTCAGGTGGCGGTAGTATGCTGTTCAATTTTGAAGCAGACAGCAAGCAGTCTAAATTTGACTTCCGGTAATGCATTCCTATGGGAAAACACAAATCTGTTTTCTCTTCGCGCTTGATTATAAGAGCAACTTTTGCTTAGTGATGTGACAGAATAAAACGTTTGGAAGTTTTACAACCGGGTTCATGAAAATATGTGTCAGTTAAAGCGATTTTCTTTGGAATTCATGGCGTTAAACACTGCGCTAAATAGCTCAATGCACATGAATAATACGTGTTCACGTTACAGACTGCCATTATAGCCACGTATTTCCGCATATAGTCAATGCTATAAAGCAGGCAGAAGTTAATCAGCTTGGCAAAACACCAAAAGGATGCTAATATATGCCAAATCAAACAATCAAAACAGACAACAAGAACGAAGCATGGAGTTATGGAACGAAGAGCACGTACTGGATTTGTAACAAACTGTGCATTAGGCAGAAACTGCGTTTTCGTCATCTGAACGTTATTATAGCTTGAATAAACCCTACGCAATTTTTAATCGTACTTTTGGAGCGCAACTCTTAGGCGCCCGTTTGCAGGTTGAGCGGCGTCGCCTTCGGCGCCGGCGTCGGCGTAACCGAGCGTTGCATTTTGGGACGTGTGATGTCACACGTTGCGTCACGAGGGTTACCCTTACGAGGGAAACAGTCACGGGGGTTATCCGCACGAGGGCGGCCTTAGGAGGGAAACACTCAAGAAGGTTATCCTCACGAAAGTAACCCTTAAGGGGGTTACCCTTATGAGGGTAACTCCCGTGAGGGTTACCCTCATGAGGGTTACTCCCGTGAGGCTTACCCCCGTAAAGGCTCCCCTCATGAGGGTTACCCTCACAAGAGTAACCCTTATGAGGGTAACCATCACGAGGATTACCCTCACGGGAGTAGTCCTCATGACGATTACCCTTGCGAGGGTAACCCTCATAAGGGTAGCCCCCGTGAGGGTTAGCGCCATGAGGGTAACCCTTGAGAGGGTTATCCCCGTGAGGGTCACGAGGGTAACGTCAAAACGTTACTCTTGTGACGCCACATGTGTCGTCATTATGGGATACACGGGACGTCGCGTGACGTATGACGTCAGCGGGTCTAACATTTGCCAATATTTCCGCTGAATTTAGCGGGAAAGGAGGTGGCGCATACCCTTTTCCCCGTACCCCCTCCTCCTCCTCAAGAGCTGCGCTCCAATTCGTCGTTACAGAGAATTGTAAACGTCTTTCATGTTTTTTGCTTGAATTGATAGCTTGTATTGACACATCATGCTGTGCAACATAAGCCTGGGCCTTAATTTTTGCTAACTTAAACGTCGCTCAGTAGTAAAAAAAAAAACATTGACTAAATAAATTCCACTTTTATAATGTGAATAAAGCTACATAGAACCCGCTACGAGCAAAGCAACTGCGCTTGTTTCTATTATTTCCTGGCGAAGAGAAAAATATCACGTACGTTTTCCCTTAGGAATACACAGGAAGACTGCAAAAGAACACTGCTTGCTGTCTGCTTCAATTTACAACCGGAAGTCCCGTAGACACTAGCGCCAGCTGAGCCTCTAGCGTTCATTGTAATTACTCTATGGGCCAAGAGGCCGAAGCTGCAACCTGGCGGGCCAATTGGAACGCGACTACGTATCATCGGAATGCGCTTTTACTGCAAAGTGGTGTCAGGCTTTCCGCTGCGTCATGCTCCAAGATGTGCGCGTTGCGCTCGTATACGTCGCGGATATCGAAGCCGTCGGCACGCAATGGGGGGCTTATCGTTCACCCTTTGCCAAGTTACACCGAGGCAGGGTATAACCTTGGGCTCTCACTCTACTGCCACCGCCTGGCTGTTACCGGCAGGCTATACTGTCACAAGGAATTATGCAGCTAAAAAAAAAATTTACGTTGAAAAATAGAGCAACCCCCACAAACACTAAGGGCCCATATATAGGGCGAGGGTAATTCTGAACAATGACAAAGTCAAAATCTACTATTTAATAAAGGTTTAACAATTTCGTGCTACAGAACAACATGCCGAAGAAAAAAAGTCTCATTTTTGCTAACCCGCTTTATCTTGCAGTGAGGTCCAAAGGCAGCAGCGGCATATCCTCGGGGGGATGAAAAGTCGTCAGTCCGAACTCGTCGTTCCGTCAGTCGGTGAAATGACATCACACACCACACACAAACACGCAAACCACGCGACGGACATGGAAACAAACTTGAACACCCTTGTACCTATGCGGTAGTGAGAATATGAAGGCTATTCGGAGTTTCTGATGTTCCGGTCAACGAAAAGATTAATCTAATAACGAATTGCATCGGATGCCACCTCGACGTGCGAAGCAGAAAGCAAGACGGACTTCATTGCACCCGCAAACGATCATCGAGACGGGCGTCTCGATGGGCAGAAATTTCACGAAGTGTGGGAAATCTTCTTCAAAAATAGAAAACTCTTAGGCGTCCAATGAAAGAGGGAGAAACGTGAAACGTTCGTCACATCTGCTCTACAGGCGGTCGCCCTCTGTCCGGAGGCCCTATTCCTAAACGTCTATCATCTCCTCAAGATCCTAGCGACTCTGCGCGCAACAACGGCGGAAGCTGAGCGCTCGTTCTCTTAACCACGACGGTTTGGAATCAAATTAATCTAAAAGCAGTTTTATGCGAGATTGAGTACTCAAGAGAATGGAGTGTTTAACATGCTAGATTTGTTTGTATGCATTGAACAACGACTCATAAATAATCATAAATGCACCGCAATAAGATATTCTGACCATATCTTTGTTCTAGTAAAATATAATTGAGAAAAAAAAATCACTTGAACTTTATCTCAAGCTGCATTATCCTCAACATTTCGCTGAAATGCATTGGATCGTATTGAATGTTTCGAAATGAGAATTTTGGGAATTACATAAAAACACTAATCAAATTATCGCAATCATGTTTTCGCCAATGATTAAATTCTTTTGCGCGAAGTTATTGATAATGGCATGTTGCTTCACTTCTTTATGTGTTCGTTATATAGTCTTGATTCTCATCACTCCTATTTCAAGGCATTCATTGTAAGCACATAAGAAGGCGTAGATAAACCACGTGGCAGTATTTTCTTATTGTTTTCTGGAATTTCCTTTTTTATACAAGAAGGATGAGCTTTTTCCACCGCCTTTCAAATCAATACTCTGGGCTGCGAGCACTGGGAGGAATTTTAAACGAGTCATGACCACCACTAGAGCAACAATGCTCTCATTCGTTCTCCTAGTCTCGGAATGAACTGCGGGTGAGGGTGCATCGGCGACGTCGGCTGAAGTAACACGACGTAAGTTTCACCCTAGATAGCGCGTATTTTTTCTTGGTTTGTGATGACCGACTCCCTTAAAATCATTTTTCCTTATATTTTATTTCACTTTTTAGTTTTAATTTTCTGAAGCCCGCCTATGACGATGATCACCCCTCCTTGACCTAGCCGTTTGCACGAGTCGGCGACAAGTGCTGGAATTTTACTTAAGGGCACTGTGACACTGTGACTTCTCCTGTGCATCCGAGTGTTTAAATACGCAGGTTTTTATATTTTAGTTTCAACATTTATTTACTTTGAAAATGCGGAAAAGGTACGCTAATGCAGTTTGTTCAGGTGAGTTATACGGTCAGGGGGCATTTCTAGAAGGCTTATCTTTGCAACCAGTCGGATAATTCATCAAAAGTGTTTAGTTAATTATTAGAGAAATAAACATATGGTTTTAATTGGAGACTCGCTGACGATTATCGAAAACCGCTAAATCAGTAAATTTGAGAACGACTTGAGACACGTGGAAAGACAGGATAGCGACAAAGTTACCACTATTGCAGCAGGGGCAACGCCAGAGACGGTAAACGCGGATAATTAATTCACGTTTCCCCACCACTAGCTTGGAGCCTGCTGCGCGAGTGATAACTTTCCAGCAACCCCGCATTTCCCACGTGCTTATAATCATTCTAAAATTGACTGATTTAGTGGTTTTTGATGATGTTCACAATTTTTCAATTGAAACTATTTAAGCAGAACGTAATGGCGCAAGTGATCTGGTGTATACTGAACATTTTAAAGCAACCCAAGACTGAGGGATATGAAAGTCGACACCAAGAAAAGAGAAGGAAAACGTCTGAAGCACAGCCTTTGTTTAAAGGGCCCCTGAAAATAAAAGATTTTTGTTTTTATTTTAACAGTCTGGTTGGGACGCGCGTGTCAAAAAAAGTAATTTTACGCGAAAGAAAAATTTACAGTAATATTGACGGCGTGAGACTCGATTTAGTTGGCAGTCACCTCCTTTCCACTTGTTTTCTCTCTCGGCAATTTGGGCGCGTGGAGGAGAGGTGGATCGTCTTCACCTTCGCGACCTACAGGGTGAAACAAGGAGACGCCAGCCTTTTTAAATCGACCGGAAAATTCGGTTTCTTAACCTATCGCACTATGATTTTGTGCAGCATTGCCCACAGATGGTGCATTTTTTTTTTGTAAAATTTGCGAAGAGCGAACTTACTTGAGGAAAAAGTAAAGAAAGAAAAAGGCTTAGCTCCTATGGAAACGCAGCGACGCCACCGGTCTGCAAACAACACGGCGCCGTTTCGTACGGGAGACAAGAGATGGCGCAACAAACGCCGCCAACGAACGAGCATACGGCGTCGACAGCAGGCCTTTTTAGCAGACGACCGTTTCGACTCAAAAGCGGCGTGCGTTCCGCAGGCGGCGACAGTAGCAGAAACGAAAAAGACAGGCGCGGTAACAGCAAGGAACTGCAGTTCCTTGTCTGCGAAAGGGACGGCTCTCGACGTCGTCTACTCGTTCGTCGGCGGCAGTTGGCGTCGCGACCGCTTGCGCCATCTCTTGTCTCCCGTTGGAAACGGCGCCGTGTTGTTTGCAGACCGGTGGCGTAACTGCGCTTCCATGGGAGCTAATGCTTTTTCTTTCTTTACTTTTTGCTCAGGTAAGTTCGCTATTCGCAAATCTTAGAAAAATAAATGCACCATCTGTGGGCAACGCTGCACAAAGTCGTAGCGCGATAGGTTAAGAAACCGAATTTTCCGGTCGATTTAAAGAGCCTGGTGTCTCCTTGTTTCACCCTGTAGATGGTCATTCCGGAATGACACGTGACGTCATGAACTTCGCGCGCAGAATTTTAAATGAATCTCTCGCTATAAATATTGCTCTAAACGTTTTTTTTTTTCGAGTAAATTTTACTTTTTGGCACGCGTGTCTCAACCAAAATGCTAAATAAAACTTTTTTTTTTCTTTTCAGGGGTTTTAAGACATCTTCCTTCTCTTCTCTTGGCGTCAACTTTCGTATTCCTCAGTCTCGGGTTGCTTCGAAATGAAAACATATGTTTTATTTTAATTTACAAATAGGTAACTGAGAAAATTTAATTAATTACGCGACTTACTGCGAAGATTAGACGCTTATATAATGCTCCCCTGGCAGTATAACTCACATGCACAAACTGAAATATTCTATCTTCTACGGATTCTTGTTTTTAAATAAATCAGTTAGAAATCAAAACAAACACCGTATATACTGTCCTCTTTCTAAGTTAGGGATGGCAAAACGCCAAGGCAAGTACAGTGGTCCAAACTGTTTATCACAACTTAGCTGGGGCTTGTAAAATGTAGTCGATGTATTGTGACATATTCCGTGTAAACCTCTAAACCTTTCGCAGAAACACGTTCTGTAGCAATTTTCTTAAGTACTCATATTAGGTTTTTAAATCTAAGATTTATTTAGATTACCAAAGGTAGAAATAACAGCGTCCTACATGCTTGCTTGAATACCAGCTGAACGTAGAGAAAAATCGGAGGGGAAACCAACCGGCTCAGCTCCAGGCCGTCACAGCGCCCATTTGATGTTACAAATCCTGCCTGTCTTCAGTACAATCATAATGATCCCACTCAGTGCGGCACGAGCATTTCGCACCTCAAACGTTCATAATCGAGTTAATATCGTGTTTTTTATTCACCTGAGTCAGTGTGCGGGGATTGTGTAAGTTACTCTCAATAGTCTTCCTGCAATTTGGAATTGGTGCATATTTTGCATTGCCAACTGTTCAAAAAATAATAACAATCAAAACAAATCTGATGAGCTTGTAACGAAACTTATGTATAAAGCAAAAAATCCTCTAAGGTTTTCGATTAAGCTGTCGTAACAACAAGCTAGGTTGCATTAAACGCACCACAACAGAGCGATTCGCAGGTACTCGAGAAAAAGTTCTAGCAACACATGCATCTGTAGAGCGCACGCAATGACACAGCATTATATACAGCATTTTTAAGGCGCTTTTCAGGCACGCAGTCTATGGACCGCCTTTGCAACACGAACAGCTAAGAGGTTCCGAAAGCGTTGATTATCTGCGAACGTTTCAGCCTTTTCTCGTGCTTTAATCCTCGCCACCCAAAAGCGTGGTGCATGCGCGCTTGTAACCAATCTCCACAAAATACGCCCGCCATTTAATAGCAAACGTTCCTCTTGTTGTTTGTATCAAAATATAAAATATTTTGCGAAAGCAGTTTACACTTGAGGTATGCGAATAGTGAAAGTTCTACTCGAACCGAAGGGTGTAGAATGTCTAAAAAGTCCTATGTCGAGTCGAATACGAATATCAAAATTTTGTTCGCAATATTGCCGCGCGTATGATCGAGAAGATACGCTACTCCTTTGATCTATAAGATTCGTGTACACTCTTACCCGGAGTGTAAACGATAAGGAGGCGAGAATGACCTTGCCTAGTCAGTCTCGCCCTAGCTCTTTCCCAAACATTCTAGGCCCAAACACGTGCAATACTACAGTTCTGCGATTTCTCAAGTCAAATTGGGGGGTTTTACGTGCCAAACCAACGACGGGCATCTGGCTGGCCCCAGCGGAGGACTGAGGATTAATTTCGACCACCTAGGGATCCTTTGACGTGCGACCGATTTAACCACAGATAAAAAATTAGCTTGCTCACATATAGAGTGGAGTCTATCTATACCAGAAATCAAGCGGCTAAAAAAGCTGCCGCACTAAAAGTAAAATTTGTTTGCCATAAGGTAAGCAGATACGACGCCAGGCAACAATGCATTTAGTTAGAGTAGAAACTTTAGAAGACTCAGTTGAAGCAGTCAAGTTTTTTCAAAGAAAACATGGTTAATTCGACGTCTAAAAAGTTAATTAGCCAATCAAAAAACCTAGTAATTGTACCCACCCAGTTCTATCCTCGTTCTACAATTCTACTTTTTTATGTTTATGGGACACAATTTAGGCATATATGAGAATTTAAGTGTGAGTATGAATTTAGGCAGGTGTATAAATGTTATCATGTGCATTTTGTAGTTGTGCAAATGACTGAGTGGTGCTTAAGCGAGGCCTTTGAGCTGTTCGTAAGCACGAGAAAAAGAAATAAACATTGAATAAACATTGAGTGAGCATAACGCAGAAGGTTTCACGCTCTTTTTATGCGACTCCCATCGCGAAGAGTTTATAATAACCCGTTTGATTTTGAAGAAAAGTTTCCAAAATGGTATTTTGGCAGTATTCAAACACAATTAGGTGATATACACAATTTTTAATATTTATATAAAAATCACAAAAGCATTAGTCAATATGTAACTAAATACAATATACTAGACACGCAAAGTATTTTAAATGTATATAAAATACTGCCTATTTCTGCGAGAAAGCATAGCTCCCGCCCTCCCCTAGAAAAAGAAAGACTGTTTTAAGTGTTATCTATTTCTACTCCATATTTTACAGAAAACGGTAGAAAGCATTGAACACCCGTACCCTGTAATAATCAGACACCATATCTAAAAACGGCTTCCTAAATCTTATTAACGACAAACTGTTTACGCCTGTCGGTTAAAGGCCGACGACCAGTTCGCGCTTTCCACTTTTGCCTCGCTTCCTCCTCTCTCCCCTTCTACCCTGTCTACCGTTGCATGTTTTCTTCTCTCCATGGTGAGGAGGACCTTCTGCCTTGCAGAACCTTGATTCTGGTCGTCAGCCTTTAATGATAAATTAATAAAGTGCCCCCACCCTATTTTCCCAAACAAGATGGGGGCGTTTCGCGCGCACAGAAAGCATGTTCCGTAAAGTGAAGCAATTGTGCATGCGTCCTGCCGACAGGAGGTGCGCCGCATTGGTGCGACGGCAGAGTCGTGCATTGCAGGGTTTATTGTGCCACCGTACACAGGTGTGCAGTGATGACGATACGAGTGTGCATTTCGTGCTGCTCAAATATCATGTTTGCTAAAAGTTATCTCTTTTTTTTTCACCAGGTGTACGCACGCAGCAGACACACTCAACCCCAGGCATCGCAAAGAGTCATCATCATAGCAGCAGGAATTCCATTGAGCACAATGCCGTGAACTGGGAATCGGGAAAATGCGCAGAAATTATGTTAGTGAGGCGAAAGGACTGGGGTGCGAGGGAGTCCAAGAATGTGGATTACCTCAGAACAAATGGTGGGGTCACAATAGTGTTTTATCATCACACTGAAGGACTCGAGTGTAATTCTGTGGAAACTTGTGCCAAAATCATTCGCCAATGGCAAGACTACCACATGGACACTAAACGTGAGTGCAGTGGTAAACATTATATTTCCAAATTATTTGTGAGAGGCCAAATGGCAGCTTTATAGCCCCATTTAAGTTTAAGTTCGACAATATCACAATAAATATTGCAATCAGCACAAAGTAAGGTCATTTATTTTGGCTGGGATGGCCTATATGTGGCGGGCGCAACGTGCAGAGGATTTGGAGTAAGCACTGTTCCTCATTGAGCCTTTATTCGCTTACTTCTCTATTCCTGATAAATGTAATATTCTCTTCGTGATTTTTTGAACCATAAATATATTAGGTTTGATTTGATCTGGACATGTAATAAGCACATGAAATGCTATCTGTGAACAGACGATGACATATCGGGTGTTTGTATTCAATGAAAGCATATACAGCTAACAGGCACCTGATGTTGCGTGTCACGCAGGATGGGATGACATCGCCTACAACTTTGTGATTGGGGGCGACGGACGGGTGTACGAAGGCCGTGGCTTTGATGGCATCGGAGCTCACACGCTGAGCTATAACAGCAAGTCAGTGTCCTTGGCCTTCGTCGGAAACTTCACAATCAACGTACCCAACAGTAAAATGCTGGCCGCCGCCGGCGTCCTCATTGAATGTGGTGTTAAATCGGTATGTCTGCTTGGTAGAGAGCGCAGGAAAAATCTTGAAAACCGCTCTTTGTCTATGAATCTATTATTGCCACGTCTGTGGCGCACGGTTTTATGCACTAAAGTGTTTAAATTTGACGTCTATTTAAACAAAGCTTAACACGAGTATATGTAAAGGTTCGTCGCACTTCTAGAAGTAATTTAGTCACTATTCATCTGCCTTTTATTGTCGCAAGCCTTCATCAAGCACAACGGTAACTACGCACATGAACGGCTGGTCAACTGGTGATGTTTGAGTTGTCCGTTTGAAAGAAGAGGAAATATGCAGACCTTCCAAAAATGAATTAATGCCTATTGAAGAATATAGAAATGTCACTGGCGACGTCGTTTGAAACATTCGTTTTCTAATACAAATTTTATGTACAAAACAAATATCAGTATATTGCCAACAGATGTGCAGACGTCCTTTCGCTACGCAGTGGCACATATATTTATGTATATCTACTAACATTCAGGTTGCTTGTTCGTATACCGACATCGGTTTAGTTACGTTTTGCGTACACCGAAAATTTGATTCTCGGTGCTTAGATGCAAGTAATCAAGCGACGCTTACGCTTGACATATACACAATGATGCTAATAAATGTTGGAAAGGCAGAAGAGCAATAGCAGCAGCAGGATTCACATAAACATTTAAGTATTGAGGTTCTAGGAGGTAAATGCATTAAATAAATGTAAACGACGTAATGTAATCTTTTTTTTTTTCGGGGAGGGAACTTCCTTTTTAACGATTTATAAATAGACAGAGAGGGTTTCTCTGCGTGCGCTTATGTGGAACAACGTGTCGCGATTCAGGTAGTTTAATATTCTCTATTTCAACTTCCAGGGGAAAATCCAAGCTAAGTACAGCCTCCACGGTCAAAGAGATGCAAACCTCAGAGATTGCCCAGGAGAAGCTATCTATGCCTTAATACAAGAGAGCACCCATTTTGGCGGTAGATTGGATCCCTATATATATACTCCTCGCAGCGGTGATTTGGACGAAATAAACACAGTTCAATAAAGGAAAGTATGATGCAAAATTAATATCAATCTGCACTGTGTTTGAAAATTGAACTGCTTAACCTAAAATCGGTCTCTCTCTCTCTCTCTCTGTCTCTCTCTTTCTCTCTCTATATATATATATATACACAGGGTGTTTTTCTTAAGCTTAACAGATTTGTTTTAAGAAAGCCGTGAAAGTTACACTTATGCCGCTTGTGAAGGTGAGTTATACGTCCAGGGGGACATATTATAGGGGGCGTATCGTAACGATCAGTCGGCTAATTAAACAAAATTCGTTAATTAACTTTTCAATTGATGATTAACATGTGGTTCCAATTAGAAACTTGCTCAGCGTCATTGAAAACCACTAAATCAGTAATTTTCAGAAAGACTTTGAGCGCGTGAGAAGCGTAGTAGTGCACTAAAGTTACCACTCGTGGAACAGGTACAAATCTGGCGGTTTCGATAAGGCGCCCGCGCGATTTTTCCGTCTCTTATCTAGCCCCAGCCTTGTCCAGCTTCACGAGTGGTAACTTTAGTACAATACTACGCTTCTCACGCGCTGAAAGTCTTTCTGAAAATTAGTGATTTAGTGGTTTTCCATGACGCTGAGCAAGTTTCTAATTGCAACCATATGTCTATTTTTATTAAATAAAAAGTTAATTAACGAATTTTAGTTAATTAGCCGACCAATCGCTACGATTAGCCCCCTATAATATGTCCCCCTGGCCGTATAACTCACCTCCACAAGCGGCATAAGTGTAACTTTCACCGCTTTTTTTAAACAAATCTGTTAAGCTTAAAAAACACCCTGTATATATACTTCTTAGGGGTATATAAACATTCGCGCGCTGTACACTCGCTACCTGATGAAGAGCGGTCCCCGCTCGAAACGTCGTAATAAACTTCGAATTAGTAACTCCGACAGTACGCATCTTTGACTTATTAAACTTTTCCCGGTCCACTGTTTTTTTTTTTATTTACCTTACTTTACCTATATATATATATACTTCGGGTAAATGCTTCAAAAACGAAGCTGGTCTGCTTTCATAGCCCTTTAAAAAATGTAAGCTCGACTTCTCAGCTATTTCTCCACAACACCAATTGTTCATGCTCTAACTGTACACCTGTTGAATATGTTAGCTCCGTAAAGTATTTAGGTCTTTAGTTCGACAGTGATCTCTCATGGAACTCTCACATGTCATATATATGCCAACGATTGAGAACTGTCTCATGTCTGCTTTACAATATCAAATCGTTTCTACCTTTGTCAATTAGAAAGAGCATTATGCACGCATTAGCCTATAGTACAGAAAGGTATGGCATAAGCGTATTTTTTAACTGTCCACTCTTTTGGCACTCAAGAATTGATCGTACGTTAAAGGGAATTCTGAACAGTGTAGCATACAACACACACATGTCATCTAGTACGAGCTTGTTTGCTTCACTTAAGTTACCGTGTTTTCATTCACTCTTTCTTCAAACAGTAATTTGGCGACACTTCTGGGAGAGTGAGTTTAAGGTCTCGGCCAGTCCATCTCGCGAGCTTAGATCTGTTCTGCGTTTTCAATCTCCTCGAGTGAGAACTCACTATGGTGAAAGCATGCGTTCTTTTTATGTGCCAAAAGTTTTTACGACGTTCCAGCTGCTCTGCTTGCCATTACCTAAAAAAAAAAATGCTGAAGACCTCTCTGAGAAACATGTTCGCCGATGTGGCTAGATAGTGGTTTTTTCCCATGTCGTTATTTTTCTTTTCTTTTGTAGTATGGTGCTGTACGTGCTTTTTGTGGTAATCGCTGTACATGCCAAATGACGACTACATTTATTGCGTGAAGTTTTTTTGTCTTCGACCCGTTGACTCAATGATTTTCTTTCTACTAATAAGTTTTTTTTTTACTGAACATATGAAATATTTGAGAGAAAGACTCATGAATTCAAGGACCGTGTCTTCGAATGTACTCTGACAGTGTTTAAAAATACTCATGCGTGAGTGTTTTTTTTTTACATTTATGACTTTAATGATTGTAATCGACACAGTGATCAAGACAACGTTTGCTATAGTTTCATCTTCACAGCTTCACCCAAGTCACTGACACAAACATTCCGACTACATTCTGCCAAGTGAATCATCTGTATGTTATTTGCTTTTTTTTTCCTGCACGTGATACTATCCCGTGCGAACTCCCTTTTTTTGTATTTTCCAATGATGGGTCTGGTCCCACAAGTCCCTGATGGCTTTGATCGGACCCGATACTCAACTGCCCATACCTGCACTACTAAATAAATTTTATTATTATTATTATTATTATTCCAGGGATTCATTTCGTCATTCTTGTCCAGCTCGCTTGCGCCTTTGCATTTAATTGCATTATAATTCTAACGGAATTACAGACGGCCTTCGCTGCCGCTAAGCTCAATCAGCTCGACAGCTATTTATTAAACAGCGTGCGCAGCCTGCTCGAAAAACGAAACTGAAAGAGGATGAGTCGGGTGGGCGAAAGCTTTCTCCCGTCTGCCTGGAGAAGGAGAAAAACGTTTCGTTCCTCCCCTTTTCTCGTGTCCGCTTGGGGGCGCGTCGGTAGAAGGGAGGAAGACGCGCCGTTGCTACTTTTTTCCTCCCTTTTTTCTTAGAGTGTACGTTCTCCTTCTGCACTCGTGTGTATGCGTGTTTGTATGTGTGTGTTTTTGCTCATTTTTTTTAGTGTGCCAGCACTAAGACCGATTGGTTGTTCCTGGACACTTTAATAAACATTGATTGATTGATTGATTGATTATTATTATATATATCTGGGTGATTTCATCTCAGCTCAGGCACAAATTTAGGGTCGAATTTTTAATTTTGACGAAACAAATATATGTTTTGGGGCAATTCCTATAATAAAAGAAGACGCAAACGGCAATTTTGTCGGATTTTTCGTTCTCAAGTTATGGACCGTTGAAGCGGGCAAGGTGGAAACTGACGTTTTTCCAGCTTATCTGAGATGCCCATATTTCACTCCATCCCTTTTTTCTACTTTTTACGCTACATCAATACAACTTCTCGGGAACACTCTAGACATAGGCTTTTTCATCCCAATTAAGCGTCTAGGTCATAACATTCTTAATGATTTTTTTTTTATTTGTCCAACCGCCTCTCTGCGACGATATTTGACGAAGTTCAAGAAGCTGCGCTGTGTGACCTAACCAACACACTTTTATGATCTTTATATCACCGTAAAGCTCCAATTAAGCTCTTTCTTTTGAGTATAAATTCAATATTTTGCAATAAGTATATATTGGGCTACATGCTCCTGGAAAAAGAAAATTTCGAAAAACTGGCAAGTTTGGAGTCGATTTTCTGAAAAAAAAAGTTTTTATTTCTTTTATTTGTTATTCAGAGTTAGTTAATATAGTAGTCTATCTAAACTACCAACAGAGATTGCAATATATTGTTTGTACGGTCGCTATTGAGACTCGAATCTCGTGCTATGAGCGTTTTGAACGGGAGTTCGCACAGGCGCTCTGCTGAGCAGAATTTTGACCTCTGTAAGGTTTTCTATTTATCGTTAGCAGTTACCTCAATATCCAACCATAAACATTAATAAAATTTGGAGTAGTGTACTTAAAAAAAATTTACTTCGAAGTCCGTATCCACAAGTGCGGGCACCTGCGCTTACTTCTTCCCAATACTGGGGAATGCAGATCGTCAGAGAATTCCTTGGGGCCTTTTGCTTTTGGCTTTGAGTTTGAAATACCAAACTTGACATGTAATTGTCATATTTTCTTATGTCAAACAGATATGCAGTGCATATACATATATACGATTTAGTATTTGACGCTTAGGAAGTACGGTTTATTTTGTGTGCGTACGGACTCTTTTGTAAAATAACAAGCATTTCGTAGCGTGTAAGGCTTCAAGTGTATTAGTCATGTGTTTAGGTTCTATTTCTATTTTCAGTGATTCATGCCGGGTTACTTAGACTTTTTCCTCTTGACTTAAGTTTGTCCGGGAGTCTCTATGTTACGTATCTTCTCTGTCAATACATAGGGCGAAGCTCACACACCTTCCAAATCATGCCAGTGCCAAGTAAATAAATATTGTTAGGATAAATATTGTTGCTTCACTGGCTTTTACGCTCAGATATTGAGGTAAGTGCTAACATTAAATAGAAAACCTTACATAGGTCAAAAATCGACTTCTAACTTGCAAGTCTTTCTTTAAAAAAAACTTGCAAGTTTGAAGTCGATTTTAAAAAAAAACACCTTTTGTTTTTTTCATTTTTTATATAGTTAGGTAATATAGTGGTCTGGCAGGACCTACCAACAGAAATTGTAATAGATTGTTTGTATGGCGGCTATTAGGACTCGAGTCTCGTGCTCTAAGCCTTTTGAACGGGACTTCGCACAGACGCTCAGCTGAGCAGAATCTTTACCTATGTAAGGTTTTCTATTTAATGTTAGTACTTACCTCAATATCTGAGCGTGAAAGCCAGTGAAGCAACAATATTTATCCTAACAATATTTATTTACTTGGCACTGGCGTGATTTGGAAGGTGTGTGAGCTTCGCCCTATGTATTGACAGAGAAGATACGTAACATATAGACTCCCGGACCAACTGAAGTCAAGAGGAAAAAGTCTAAGTAACCCGGCATGCATCACTGAAAATAGAAATGAAACCTAAACACATGACTAAACGTTGGAAGCCTTACACGCTACGAAATGCTTGGTATTGTAAGAAAGAGTCCATATGCGCACAAAATAAACCGTGCTTTCTAAGCGTCAGATACTTAATCGTACATATGTATATGCACTGCATATCTGTTTGACATAAGAAAATATGACAATTGCATGTCAAGTTCGGTATTTCAAAGTCAAAGCCGAAAGCAAAAGGCCGCAAGGAATTCTCTGACGATCTGCATTCCCCAGAATTGGGAGGAAGTAAGCGCAGGTGCCCGCACTTGTGGATACGGACTTCGAAGTAAATTTTTTTTAAGTACACTACTCCAAAATGTATTATTGTTTATGGTTGCGTATTGACGTAACTGCTAACAATAAATAG